CGTGGAAGTACTGACCTTACTTTGAGTTTGCTTCTGTAAAAAGTGACAAAAACATTAGCATCTGCTGTACACTGTGTGGGAAGAAAACTTCTTTTTACAGCAAAAAAACCCCCCTAAATTTCTGAGCAAGTACCTAGCATGCTGCCTTGGGAATATGAAATTCATGGAGAAATCCCTGGATCCTACCGCTGTGGCACTGGGCAAACCTCCGCCTGCTCCACTCCTGCCAAACAGGTGAAAATAGATTTAAGAATGACAGGACTCAGGCTATGTCCACACGTACACAGGTATTTTTGAAAGGATTTTCCTTTTTTTTTTTTTTTTAAAGAAATCCCGTCCACACATGCAGTTTTAAAAAATGTCTCCGTCCACATGTAAATGCTAAAAACGATAGCTTGGCCAATCCGAAGTCTAGAAGCATGGGAGGGAAAGACTGAACAGGGTTTTGTACTCTCACAAAACCTTAAGTACTTCTGAAAAGTTTTTGTTTTTCTGGAAAGGCAGATACATTTTGTGTTACTTTTCAAGTGCCTTCATCATTTCAAATCTTAATAACTAAAGACTATTTTGGCTGTTGTGTAGACTCACAACTTAGGAATGAACAAAATGCATACAGCATACATAAATTTAATTTTGGGGGGGGACTGAAAGGTCTATTGCTTTATTACTTATTCAGGTTGTGTATCATATTTTTAAAAAGTAACTAAGTAACTAATTACTTTTGCAAATAAGTAATCAGTAAAGTAATGGGATTACTTTTTGGAGAAGTAATCAGTAATTAGTTAATAATTACTTTTTTCAAGTAACTTGACCATCAGTGATCATTAGTGCCACGACTGAGTAAAGATGACTATTGGCGTGCTGGATCCTGCTATATGTCCAAAACTGTCCCTGGAGGCTCTCTAGTCTCATTGTTCTTGGTGTAAATCTGAGAGAAACTGAGATGAGCTGCTCAAGCTGGTACTTGTGCCATTTTTGTGGCACAAGCACATCCAGCCTGAAGCTGTATAATACAGTAGTGCAATGTGGACACTGTAGTAGTGCTAATCTCTCAGGATGAGGAGATACTTCCTTGGAAAAAAATCTAGTTCCGACATGCCGCCTTACTGGACGTGGGACACGCTGGGTCAGCGGTTTCATTAGAGGCAGCCACAACCAGCAACCATTGCACAGCTGCAGACTGTACTCATCCAGAAATAGGGAGAGCAATTTGTCAACAACAGATCCAGAAGCTTGAGCAATCTATGCACACACAGGTGACTGCATCACATTAGATGAGGCCAGACCTCATATTGAAATGTTTGTATGTATATACAAAACAATATCCATATTCTAATTCATTCAAATCAGTAACAATCAAAATTGTATAAAGATCTACAGAAGCCTGAGACTGAAACCTATTGTTCTGAGCAGATTCCGCCTCATAAGGGATGATCTTACTGCTTGAATACAACATAACGTAGTCTCCGCTGGATGTTGGTTCTCGTCTCTTACTGTACGGTTAAATTCCACTGTGTTTTCAGCACAGCAACAGCTGGTTAAGACTGCTCCGTCAAACATCAGTTTACCAGTTTTGGTTTTAAAAGGTGGAAAAGGTGAGTTAGGCAGGAAAGTTTACTTTTGTCCCCTTAGTCACGTCACCAGAGCCATTGACAAAATAGAAGAACACTGAGAGGAAGGTCTCTACGACATTATTTTCCAACACAGGTTGTTGGAGGAAACCCAATTTTCTTGGGTACACAAGATTTAACGTGATGCTGACTTATATCCAACACTGGATTCAGGGGTTCAGTTGTGCACTTTGACACGATACTTGGGCTCTATTCGATGGGAAACCCATTAACAAACTGTGCACCTGAACAGTTGTACAGCCAAACGTTTAACATCAGAAATAAGACCACATGAAAAACATCTTATGAAAACCTCATCTTTTTTTTAATTAAAACAAGAAAACACTGAAACAAATTTTTCAGATTCTCATGGACATGACCAGAAATTTTCTATTTATTTAAATCCTTAAAATGTAGAACATTTTTTGACCACGCAGTAATCTGCTTTCATTTTGTCTAATCCTCTGTACTTTAGCTGTTGTTTACCTTGTGTCTTACAGGGCCTCACTATGGGGAGGAGGCAGCCAGTCGCTGCACTTTTCTGATTACTTTCTGTAACCTGAAGCATTTTCTGCCCCATGCTCTTTGCATGAAGACCTCACTTTGAGTAAACTATGTTGATTTAACATGACAATTGCATGCACAACTCTATTCAAAGTGTTTGCTTTTCTTCTGTGACGTCTTGGGCCTTCAAACAAAGATTATAGCGAGGATTAGATTTGCAGAAATAGCAGGACGGAAGCAGTTTAAAATTTGCCAAACCTTCAAAAAATACGTACATTGGAGCAGGGGCATTTAAAAAAACAACAACAAAACATTTCATTATGAAATGATGAGTGAATGAGAATTCAGAGATTATTTGTCTGTTGATGGAGAAAAGTTGTCCTGATGTGCGACCCAAAGCCCACAGAAGAAGCATGGTTGCAACAGTTTCCAGCTGAGCAGTCACTGAGATAAAGCAACTGTTGTTTGTGCTCTCTACTGTGATAATAGGCTGTGTTAGGGAGCAAAAGGATCTATATTTGACCCTCAACCCATATAGATACAACAAGGGGAAAGGGGGTATTTTTAGCACCTAACCGATGTGGATCTGAACGAATGGAAAATTGCTCGATACCTCTGCCTGCTTCAGAGTTTACTAAAGTGAAAGCGTTCCTGTGTTCTTTGATCTTTTTTAAATCCTTTGCTGCTCCTATGCAGGTATTGATTCCTCTCTGATAAACGCTCAAGTCTGTACTTTGTATGGAAATGTTTCGGTGCGCACCGAGGAGGAATTGACCTCGTGCAGAACAGATGTACTGTCACCCCCCACTGAGACGTGAGCGTATCTGTCACCTCAAATTTTGATCCACAGCTTGACCCATAGTGGCCCGGCTGAAAGGCTAGCACATGGCCCCTGTTCAGCAAACTGATGCGTGTAGGTCGGTCATTAGTGTATAATCATATGAGTCTGACTGGGTGATTCATCTTGGAGAGAAAGAGCATGAGTGATATGTCTCCATCATCACAACCCACTGACTTCTGTCATGACTTATCTGAGAGATAATTCCAATCATGACCTTCAATCAAGCCTGTGAGGCGACATATCCCAGTCCATCTACAACACTGATTACACTTAATGAGCAGGTTTTTTTGTTTTTTCTGTAAAGCACGATTTTCAAGAGACCCTCAGAATTTAGTCTAAGTATTAACATATGGCAAAGAGAGCTGAAATCTTACTATTTCACATCTGCTGAGCTCAAATATCAAAGATACTCTTACTCCCATACATATGCAGCTACTCACTTTATAAAATCATTGCGGGTGACAGGCAAATATATGTGACTTTGAAAAACTTATTTTTCATTTAGGCCATAACAGATTAATATAGGAAATCTACAAAGACAAAAGAGTCCCATGGCTTGGTGCAGTCTTAGATTATGCCAAGTAAAGCAATACCAGTGCAATGCAGTCTGTCATTCAGTACCTCTTTTATCTTTCTTCCTAAAAAGATAGATAATAGAGCAATAACGGTCTGCTTTCATTTTTGGGTTATTGAATATGGGTGTTTTGTAAAAAAACACAGTTGCATTTAAGACGTGTCCATGATGTACCGCATCTCACTCCGAATGGATTACATATGTACTCTTGAGCAGGGATTCTTGATTCATTGGCTACTCTTCATATTTCAGCACCGCAACCTTTTCCTAAACCCAACCAGTGAGTAAAAACAAAACTGATCACTGAACTGAGCGAGCGAAATCAAAGTAAAACAAAACAAAAAACAGAGGCCAACACGGTCTCCTGGCTGCGTGCTATCTCTGTGAAGCCAGCAGCTTCTGAAAAATGACAGTATCTATCACTGCGTTTTTTTGCTTTCTGTTTTCATTCTCTGCAATCTCTGTCCTCCTGTTATTGCAGACTCGTCTTAACTAACGGTGGCAGAGATTTATTTGAAATAGAATTGAATAATCAAAGAATCATGATGAATGGACTTTTTGTTTTTGTCCTATCTTTGATTTGAACCAGGTTTCACCATGTAACTCAGAGTTTTCACAGTCTGTTTTTATCTTGTCATCACAACAATTTAAGTATTGTGATTTAAGTGCATTGAAGCAATTGATGTTGTGATTTGGTGATATATAAATAAAACTGAATTGAGCAGAAGAGACAGCTAAGGTCTCTTTCACATGGGCCCAGAGATCCACTGGCACTGGCAGGTACTATGATTGCTAAAGCCCCAGTCACACCTAGAGACCAGTCAGTGACATTTTTCCCTAGCAACCAGAAGTTGCTAGGGAAAAATGTATATTCTACAACTGATTGTTCAGTGGTTTCTGGACATGGTTGCTGTTGCTAGGTGAAACTGGTCACGAAGAGGTAAACAGTGCTCCACTGAAAACATCTCTGGGATTGCTTTGGCTGCAGTTTGCCAACTTGTCTTGAACCTGAACTGTACAGCTGTTCACTGTTGTTTTTAAATGTGTTGGTTCAGTTGTTGTTCAGTCATAACATTGTTTATTTCCCTTTTGGGTCACATGAACTACCGCTCTGAGCGATAGTTAGTTGGATAGACCAGTTGACATCTTCCTTACTAGCTACAGGTTACTGTGGCAATCCGCTAGCAATCAAAGCAATCACAGGGACGCCTTTAAAATCTGACCATCAGAAAGCTTTACTAAGTAGGGCTCACTCTCTAGCTTTTAAGCCTAAATTTAGTTTCAAAACAAACAAAAACAACAACAAAGAAAAAGAAAACAAATGCAAACTTTAAAAGATACGTCCTCTCAATGGTTAACATTTTTATGAATGGAGGGATGTACAGTGTGCTTCAGACACCACAGCAGTAAAACCTTCCACCAACCATTCAAAGGTATGAATGAAAGGTTAAAAAAGAGCACTCTTGTAACAAATTTAATTTTACAACAATTGTTCTTCTTATGACACTAAACAAGTACTGACTGAAAAGGGTGCATAACGCTTCTCAACTTCCCTTAACGGGCTCATACACTGGGAAAATAAATCCTCAAACTATTCCATGGGACTTTCTTAAACTGACGGAATGAAGGAAGGAAGGACATAATTTACGAGTCTCAGTGCATGGCTGATATCCAAAAGGAATGTGGTAAATGTTCGTGCTGTGAAGCTGAAATAGCAAAGCTCCTAGAGAACCAAGAATGAAATGATGCATTTGGTTTCTGAGCGCCGCATTTCTGGTTTTGCTATATTTACTCCATTATAATAGGTTTCTTATGTTCAGCGTGTGTGAAAATGGAAAAAACAATGATGCAATGATTTCTGACTGAGACTGTAAGGCACATTCTATAGCACAATTATATATTAAACAAATTTGAAAACCACTATTTGGCTGTTTTCTTGGCAACCGCAAAAGCTCTGATCGCTTTTGGTCGACGCTGCAGAAACAGTTCAGTCTGTGCACCATGAGTGGATTCTTTGGGCATGTAAGATTGATTGTCTTTTGTTCACAGGGGCAGGAAGGTACAATGCTGCCTGACACACGGGCCACAGTAAGTGATGGAATGTGCTGCACTTCATATCTGATTCTGCTGTGGGTACGGAGCAGAGAACATGCAGGAAAAGGCAGCAGACGCTACCAAGAGACCAGAGAGCAACATCGGGACATGGCCCAGATGGGCATCAAGGGAAATAGTTTCCAGCCAAGACATTAAGTGTGCACATACTGGCAAAGAAACAAGAGCACAGTCTAGCCTGCACTATGTGTTGTGTGGAGTAAACAAAAGAAGCAGCAATGAGCATCCAGAGTAGGCGCAAGGTTATTCTTTTTTAAGCCATAACAAAAAAGGCTAAAAATGAGGGAAGGTGTAAGGCAACCACTGGGTAAGTCCTTTTCTGATGCTATATATATCAGTTTATTGCTCTTTAAAAGCAAATAAGTAATTAAATTTTTTTTCCTACAGGTGTTGGAGTGGTTTCATAAAGGAACTGAGATGGCGCTCTGCTATTGACACACTGCTGAGTGTACTTGGGAAGATTTAATAACCTCTTATCTTATCAGTTTAACCCAGTGCGCACCTGAAAGTTAGAACAGCAAAGTCAACCATTAAACTGTGCCTCGAAGCTACGTGGACGTCGATGTATATTAAATAAGCAGTAGATGTTTCCTGCTGCTAACAGAAAGGGATTGGTTCTAATTTTTCCTGTTTAATTGTGTAAATAAAGATCGGGTGTGCGCACTTGTGACCATGGATGTGTGTGTGTAGTGGCTTTCCGATAGGTCACTGAGGTGATGTGTTGAAGGCAGACCTACCGACACGTGTCAAGTTACGGCTAAAAAAAATGACAATGTCCGCACATTTACCTTTGACTTTTCCACTAAATGCTAGCTGCACTCTTTTATCCGCATAGAACATCACAAATCACGCGATTGTGTAGCCTAACCAAATTTGCGCTATGGTTACACTAACTATGGTTACACATTGTGATTACAGTCAAAAGAACAATACGCGCCACCTGGCATACATCAAACTGAATAAATAAAGTTATCGGTGACTGCCTCCTACTTCATGGAAAGCGCATCAAAATGGAAAGAAACAAAAACAAATTTATTAATAGATTTATTTAGAAACAAACTCTTTGTGAAAGTAATTCAAGGCAAGGTAATTTTGTGTGTGTTTAAATAAAGCTTTTTGCATGTGTACAAAACTTGGCTTACATTTCAAACAGCTTTCCGTAAAGTGACTGACATTGCATGTTTGCATACAAACTATAAGTTGCTGCCATCTTGTGGCCGCACTTGGCTACTGTCTCTGGAGGCAAGCTTGACTCTGAGCCACTGGAGTCTGTAGCTGCTGTCATTTTCAAGGGTGTGTCCTGGAAGCTAAGAGGCCAGGAGCTTTTTTGTGGTTCTTTGCACTTAATCAGTATTGCATGCACTGTATGTTAATTATGTTTCACTGCTCTAAGATCAGTTGCAATCTGCATGTTACCGCAGAAGGAGAGTTAGGAAGTAAGTGAGGATATTACTGTGATTTTTCATTTCAGCAGATTAGTTTTAGCCAGGAAAACCTTTATAAAGAAAATTCACATAATGAAGAGGGTACTGTGATCTCTGGAATATCCCAAGGTTTTAAGTTTGTGTACGTATGGTTTAGAGCCTAAAGTCTTTGTTATATTTTAGTTCTAGTACATATCAGTTAATTGATTATTGGCCTCTGTGTTTCTCCGATTGGGACATAGTATGAATAATCACTTGGTTGGCTGGATGCAAGTTTAATGAGTTGATTTGCTTTTTCTCCCTCATTTCTTAAAAAATATTAACCATGTGACACAATACTAAAGCTTCAATTCAGTTTGCTTTTATTATACTAATGTATTTCTTTTTTTCCATTAAGGTGTAGGGCTGTTTTTCTAATCAGATTAAGAAATGTTTTTCTTTTAGAGCAAGCCATACTACAAACATATGATAGTACACAATATGATGGTGCTGTGTGAGCTCAACCTTTAATATTCGCAATAGTAATATTACCCATACAACACTGATGGGGAACACGGAAGGGTGAGTATCATCTCTGCTTGCCTTTCAGCAACAATCACCCCACTCTACTGGATTTTTGCATAATCACAATGCATTTTAAGCTTTTCACTTGCTATTTTACCCTCTCTTGGCTGCTTTGACTCACACGTAGGAGCATTGTCCCCTAACCACAGGGCTACTGGTTTGATCCCCAACCCTGGCCTCTTCAGATGGCGCCACAGCCTTAGCACCCAGTGGCCACAGTACGTTACAGCGATTGCAATTTCGATTTTTTTCTGTTGTTGTTTTTACATTTTCCTAGCTAGCAAATTGAGAGTTTGTTTTAGGACTACAGTAATTTGCCCGTTTCAGTTGTCTTCTTAAAAAGATGCACTCTGACAGGAACACTCTGCACTTATTTTCTATTTGTTAGAAAAAAAAAACAGCAATGTCAAATTTGTGATAGTGCAACAGCAGCTTTTCGGTTCATTACTTTCGTGCCAACATGAATAATAGATTTGCGGTGCAAAACATTTTCACCTATTGCTGTTGATTGAGCTGGAGAGACAGAGAGAGAGCACATAATGTAGACATTTGTATTTATGCATGCACTTCACAGAGATTTCAGTAATTTTGTTTATGTCCAAATGAGTCATGAAATTTGTTTGTGTGCCTCTGTGTAATAGAATTTGCCTTTTTCTGATGTAGTCATGAAGGAAATGAGTCATGAGGTAACAATATTAATAATGTAGTCAGTCTGAAAAAAAACTAACTAAAACTGTATTTTTTTCTTTTTCTTTCTTTTCACATGCTCTCTGACTACACTATAACAATAATTGACTTCCTTAATCCCCAATATAATGCACAGATCCATAAGAGAGATGACTTTTCCTTCTTTTTCTTTCTTCTTTAATTGCATGGACTGGCCTGAGGATAGAGACGATGAAATATCACGTACAATTCGATCTCCTGAGAATTTTTGTGTTTGCTCAATATCTAGATGGATATTGCGGACTTCTCTTTTAACAATCCAGAGTGACAGCACTTTGTAGTGGAAGCTATTCTTAGAGCCCCTGGTTCAATTGCATGGGTCCAATTGAATTGGAGGACGCCGTGCCACACAGGACATCCATGGTCACTTGATGGGGCTGACACAAACACTCACACTCTTACACTCACACCTGTCTATCACACCTCCACGAGCGTTAATCCAGCTGAGGCTCTCCGGATCACCCTCTTCGTTCTGTCTCCTTTGTTCGCTCACACGTTCTCTTCCTTTGTCTCTCCAGACACTCTCTATCGTTATCTCTGCCTTCGCTATTACTCCCTCTCTCGTCTCGATTGTCTTAACCACAGCCAAGGGAAAAGTACAAAGTTAAGCAGCAAGAAATTACCAAGGACGCTGTATTTCTCTGTTCTTGTTGTGTCTCTCATCCTTGTCTTGTTAAGGCGTCTCATAATTAGGAAACCATGGCTATTTCTGAATGTTGTCTATCCGTAAATGAATCTCATTGCGGTGTTTTTTTTAAAAAAAAACTACCTGCTGGGTCAAACTCATTCACTTATGTGTAATGGCGTAATCTAAATTATCAGATGCTCCCATTGTGTTTTCATATAAAAAATAAAAAACAAAATGAAGTGAAGCGACTTTGGACAGCTGATGTATAAACATAGTAATGTTTTGCACTGGTGTTAAGTAAAATCTGACAAAGGGATTTTTGTAAGTTATCTGCACTGCCTGTTATTGCTCATCTCTGGCTGCTTAGATGACGACACTGACCACAATATAATGACCTTACTCAAGTGTCTTCAATGCAACTAAACAGCAGGTTTGAAATTAAAACATATGTAAACATAATTTCTTAAACTGGAGGAAAAGTTTTACTTATTTACTTATTTACTTAATTTTGTAAAGATGTATTTCCTAAATTAACGTTAAATGCATTTCAGTCCATTGATGTTGAGCTAATTCTCATGGAGAGGACAACTACACTCCTTTGTCTATTTCATGGACTCTCTCTCACAATTACTAACTGTGGATGTTGTCCAGTTGACACTGACCAGTAGAGCCGTGTCTCTATTACCACAGGTCCCTCCCATGATATTCATCTCAACATGCCAAATGTTTTTAAGAAAAACAACAAAACCTACATTATTTGACTGCAAGATAAAGACACAAAACTAACTCCATGACAAACACAAATTTATTCTTGCTTTACCATAGAAACTTTGACAAAAAACACCTGCTGTATTTTTATTTAAAGGAAAGGAAAAAGTCCCACAACTAATATCACACTTTTTGTTACCAAGCAAAACTGAATGAACAGATACAGCAGTGATAGTGAGTAGAGCCACTTGACTTTCAGTACGTCCTTTCTATGTGACCAAGAACAACAAATCCTTTTTTCACCTTCTTCTTAAAGAACTCTTTTCTGTTAGAGCTTTGGGATCCTGCAGCTGAACGTGGTGTACAGTACTAGCTAACAGCACTCAGGGCAGTGAGAAGGTTAGAAAGCACTCCCAGCTTTCACTCTCTGGCCCCTGAGGCCAGATCGCAGTCTGAATCATTTAGCTGGAAAGTTGTTCCAAACCACAATGTACTGCATGCATATGAAGGTCCTATATCTATGTAACAAATTCAGCGATCCCTGTTTTGTCATTCAGCATTTTTATCTGTGGCTATACCAAAACTCATGACTGTGGAAAGTTTGCCACACTGATTGTAGCTGCACTTACAGAGCAGAAGCTCATTTATGTATCGCAAAACCTCAGTAATATTTATTCTGTATGCACTGAAACTTCTGTGCCACCCACTAATGTTTGCAAATTAAGACTAAATACATCATCCAGCGGGGCACCACTCATTCATCGAGTGCACCTGCACACACAGACCCACCGAGGAGCATGCCTCTCTGATGCATTACTGCAGCAGCAGCTGTAATAGTAATGAATATGCTTGTTTAGTAATGTGCCAGAGGTGTTTGCCTAACAATGGGCACATTTATTAGCCACACTATGCAAAATGCACAGGGGACTAAGGACCAACATGTTCTCTCATGTGATGCTGCTCAAGTAGGTTTAATTAGGATCAGAAACACTTGTGGACAATTAAGTCCCCTAACAATTAAATTCTTATGTATTTTATGCACACAGAAACACGACTGTAATTATTCTGCCTGTACATTATTAGATGCATGCGTAGGCATACAGAACAGGGTCGCGGGAGTTAATTTGCTGCTGCGTTGAAATTTCAAAACACAACAAACAAATAGATTTACACATATGCATATGGTGTTAATTCAAAATCTTCAGGTTCCTCACATGTATTTTGTAACTCTCTCTGAAACAGTTGCAAATAATTGCGCAAAGAGGGTGACTACTTTAAGCTGAGTGGTCCGTTGTTTTGGACTGAAGTGGACTAGGTTTAGTCTGGCTGAGCTGATAAGGTCTCTCGACTGCCATTCGTACACTGTGGACACCGTAGCGCTGTAGGTTACGGGAGAATGCAAAGCAGCAAAGTCACATTTAACACTAAATTAAGCCTGTACGTTCAATTTAAATCCACTTTAAGATTAAGAGATTCTTAAAAATTGATCATTGCTTTTCCACAATGATTTGCTGAATATACTATTTGCACGTGCTGTAAAGGAGTCAGGAGAAAACTTTATTCATTCTTCAATTATTACTTCTATAATTTAAATATATTTTTTTCAATGTGCTGTTGTGT